GGAGGTCTCGTACATTATTTACTATCATCAGAAGGAAAGTCAAATTCAATAAAGTACATGTTGATTTAGCAAACAAAATTCAGCATGGAGATTAATACAATAAATACAGATTTCAGTGAAATTGTGCCCTAGCACTTATTATTATTTTAAATCCTCACCCCAGGACATGCTTATTAATTTTAGCAAGAGGGGAAGGAAAATAGAGGGAGAAAGAGAGAGAGAGAGAGAGAGAGAGAGAAAGAGAGAGAGAGAGAGAGAGAAACATTGATTGGTTGCCTCCCTATGTGCCCCAACCAGGGATGGAACCCACAACCTAGGTATGTGCTCTGACTGGGAATCAAACCCACAACCGTTTGGTGTATGGGACAATGCTCCATTCAACTGAGCCACACCAGCCAGGGCCCTAGCACTTATATTTAAAGCTATGGTTTAAAAATGTTCATGGGAGTTATGGATAATTTTTATCAAATGGCAAGAACAGACACTGGTAATGCTAAAATTTTGTGTTCTTAGCTTGTCACTTAATACTTATGATTTTAAGGTTAGCCACTTAGGAGCTGCTCATTTACTTTTGGTACTTATTGATCATTTAGGATATGAAGCTGTCATGAGCCCTCTGTTACGACCATAGAAAATATGATGGCGATCAGTCAATGATTATTTTCGAAGAAATGGGAGGAATGCTACTATACATGTTATATCATAAGCATAGTGTAGTAAATATTTTAAAATAAAAATACAGACCTTACAAGCACAAATTTAAAAAAAAAATTTATTTAAGGAAATACTTTCTCATTGACAATACTATATTGATGAGGAAGCGCTAACCCATATCTTTATTTATATAATCATAATCAAATTATTAGTTTCACTAATTTCTGTTATCAATTTCTGTAAGATAGCTATAATTTATAAATATTGATTAGAATGGTGTTTGGATTTAACCTAACTTTAAAAATATTAATAAAAAACCTTTCAGCTTTGGTGGACATGTTAGGGCTCTGGGGTTTGATGGCACAGTGACCTCAAAAACCCTTTCATGGCTTTTCTCATCTGCAGAGTGTTTCTCAGTGTCGAGCACAAGCATCTTCCTGGTCCTTGTGTTACTTCTCATGCAGCAGAAACAGTGGATAATCACACACCTTTTACACTTACACAAAAACAGTTCTCCAGCAATTGTATTTTACATTTTTGAGCAGAAGTTTGCTTCTATGTTACCTGATCAGATATGTGCCTTTATATACATACAGCTTCCTTTCTCCACTCCCCCTCCAACTGAAGGGTGATCTCACCATTCAGCAGGTTAAACAAAGGGTCTGCTGTGGGCTTCAGGTGTTTTAGATTGACAGTCTTCAAAACAGATTTCCAGAAGAGCTCATAAGGCTTATGATATTTTTAGACAAATTATTGAATAGAATGGAAGATTCTGCCTCTTAGTTTTACAGTGCGTTCACCTTGCCTGTTGAATGAGCTTGGATTAGTGGTGTTTGTATGACAGTTGGCCTGTAAGCCTTGACTGTATGTTTTAAGAAAAAAAGCAGTAGGTCAACTCTAAGATGTGCATCATGTCAGAGGTAGAGAAGGTCTACATATTCGTCCTGCTTTATAGACTCCAGTGTATAGACTTCCGGGGAAACAGATAGGAAACCTATAATGCACGTTTAACGAAGGTATGGAGTGGAACTTTAGATCTGAAGAGAGAAAAGGTAGGTAGGTGGCAGGATGGGCTATATGATATGTGGGGGCCAGTGAAAAATGAAAATGCAGGGCCATTCGTTTGAAAATTAAAAATTTCAAAACAGTGACAATAGATCATTCAACCAAGTATGGGGCCCTTCTGAGCTCAAGGCCTGTGTGACTGCACAGGGCGCGCTCACCAAGCCTGCCCTGGCCAGAGGGTGAGATGAGAGCAAAAAGAAAAAGGAGTAATCTATTTTCCCTGTGTTCCCCTCTCTCTTTCTATCCCACCCTTATCTGTGAACTCATCAGATGTGACCATCTGTGCAGGGGGTACTGTGGGGCCTATTAGCTAAGACACTGACACTTTAGTCTGTGAGGAGGGGCAGGAGAGAGGGGTTGTATTACACCGTGATGGGGACAGGGGTGGGGAGGGTGGGGGTTGAAGGTCCCTGAACTAACCTAGGACAGAAAGCATTATCTTGGAACCCTTACAGCTTTCTAGCAATGTATTAAAGCTATTTCTCTTCTCGGAATCTAACCTTTCATTGCTGTAAAATGGTTATTGTAGGGATTAGAGATAATGCAGAAGGTACCCGGCATGGTGGCTGGTATGCAACGGGAGCTCAATAGATATTGCATGGATAGTCTTTGTGTGTGTGTGCGAGAGTGAAGAGATGTACTGAGTGGGGCTGGGTGAAGAGGCCTCAAGTCTCAGATGGGGTGGGGGATCAAAATGCTTGAAGAGCCTCATAAGAGCTGGCTGCCTCTCTGCACCCATCCTTAGTTCCCAAGTGCTTTGGGATGGTTTAAAACTCAGAGTTGTATCTTCTTCCCAAACAGGGCGAGGAACGATGGGTGGGGTGGGGGGGGGGTGCGGGGAGTCAGTACACAGTAGAGTTCAGTCCAACACTGAAAATTTGCCAACGTTCACCCACGCTGCGGAGATGACACAGCAGCTGTGGGCAGACACCAGTGAGGGCGTGGGGACGCTGGGATACATTAGGCTTAAAGATGTCCCATTGTTCACCCTGAGGTTTTGTAGTTTGTGTATTTTATCCTGTTACGTTTCCATGATATACAAAGGACACAGCCAAAACCATTTCATGTAGTTTTCCCACTTTGTTTTGATTTATTATTTGTTGTTTACGGTGTTGCCTCCAATAACAACAATGGAATTTCCTTCCCTACTTACTCATCTGGCCTGTTTCCATCTTGCCTGTTTATTTTAATTTCCTTTTTGGACTGAAATCTCCGCATGACTCTGCTTTGTTTATTTCCTTGCATGTATGTGTCAGCATCATTTATTAGTATGTCCACTCAGAACAACTTTGTTCATTAATTATAAAGGTCCTGTTTCCTGGTTCCTAGTGGGAGTGTCTGAAGTGCTCCAGCCTGCTCAGGACTGTAAGGCGGTTTGGGTTAGCAGCTTCCTCATCACTGCTTTCTGCAGGCAGATGGCTTCCAGATGAAACGGGAGGCAGCAAAGTAACTCCACAGCCAAAGGCCCTTTTCTCAAATCCTCTGACTTATCAACCCTGCCCGCGTATCAGTGTTGATTTCCATTTGCTTTTATATGGGCAGTCGGCTTTGTGAGGACCTGCTTTTTGCAGACACGCTCAATTCCTAGAGGACGGGTCCCTGAAACCTAGTCTGTTGTTAACTAATGAGCAATTGCAGCTCGCAGTGCTAGCTGCTTGGGAGTGTACAATGAATGTTAGACTTGGCCCTTTCTTATGAAGGACTTACAGCCAATAACAGAGTTAAAGAGGTAACTTGACTTATCCATCGGTTACCTGAATATATTAGATCTGGATTCTCATTATTGACTGAATTAACCACTTCATTAAACATTTATTTAGTACTTACCCTGTTATATGACACCATATCTAGTGTCAAGATGCTTAAAAGGCCAGAAGGTAGAAATAGAATGGAAAGCAAATAAATATAATAAAGTCTTGTAGGTAACATGATGGAAATCTGTCCGGAGTATACATAGAAATTAATAAAGGAAGAGTCTTTATTCTCTTGGGGGTGGGTGGAGAGGAAGCGTCACAAACAAAGACAAAAGGTACTGGATATATTTGAGGTCCATAAGTACTTTCAAGTGGCTGAAACAGAGTGGCTCAGAAGGCAGGAGGGCATGGCGGGAGAAGGCAGGTGGAGGAAGGCAGACATAAAGGGCTTTGGATGTCACATTAAGGTGTTTGGATTTTATTCTCTGGGAAAAGTTTCAGGTAGGTGGAACATCATCATTACATTTTCCTTTTAGAAAAATTACCCTGAGAAGGGCAGAGTCAGGGGGACTTGAATGGAGGCCAGAAGATTCCTTTGGACAGTATGGTGCTAAGCAGGCATGATGTGATTCTGAATAAGCCAATGGCAGATAGAAAGATATCAAAGAGTAGACTTTATAGAATAGCTATCAATTTTAAATGTTTTTTTATAGCAACTGCTGATGAAACTGGAGCTCAAGAAAGTAACACAGCCAGTAAACACAGAAGAGAATCTTCCTCTGTGCTTCCATCTGCCGTTAGGAAATGCGGTTGTTGTCACACTAGCCTGTAACACTCTATACAGCGATCACTTGTACACAACCCTTTCTGCCCCGAGACACTAAGCTTCTTTTTTAAAAAATATTTTTATTGATTTTTTACAGAGAGGAAGGGAGACGGGTAGAGAGTTAGAAACATCAATGAGAGAGAAACATCGACTAGCTGCCTCTTGCACACCCCCTACTGGGGATGTGCCCGCAACCAAGGTACATGCCCTTGATCAGAATCGAACCTGGGACCCTTGAGTCTGCAGGCCGACGCTCTATCCACTGAGCCAAACCGGTTAGGGTGACACTAAGCTTCTTAAGGCTAAGATTCGAACTACTGAATTATTTGTGTATGCCCAGCGTGGAGCCTTGTACAAACAAGTGTGCAGTCGTTGTTTGATGCCATAGCCAGTGCTTCTTGCACATGCACGGCCTGGCATGCGGTATGGGAGCATCACTCAGGCTCATCTTACAGCCACCCGTTTTCATCTCTCCTCTGGAGGGGCCAGAGCAGAGGGACAAGCTGAGGATGCTTTTCACTTTGCTTTAACATTATATCACTTCATTCATCATCAAGATGTGCCTCTACCTCCAGAAGCCTGTGTTAAAATACCAAGAACAAATATTTAAAATATAAAAAGTGGCCGTAAAAGTTGATGCTTTTGTGATACTGGCATCAGCGGTCTCATTAGTCACAAATCAAGCATGATAATTTGCTTCTCTGTCTCTTTTTACGTTACTTAATGCTTTAACCTAGAGCACACTTTATTCTTCCACTCAGGTCCGTAATGCCTCCCGCCTGGCTCTTTCAAGATGGAGGGGAAACCTGTGGGAGAGCCTACTCAAGTGGTGTCTAAATTCAAACTTCCCACCAAGGCGGAGAGCACAGGGCACTGGCTGGAGGAAGATCATGCTCGGATATGGGAAGTTTTGAAGACTGAGGAGGTAAGACAACCCTAAATAACACGGTTGGTGCAATGATGGATTTTCTTACCCTTGAGACCATAATGCTGAGTGTAGCCAGCACCACAGGCCAGCTGGGAACATTATTATTTGAGGCCACAGGCACTTCATGACTGGAGAACAGTAAGTCAGGGTTATGTCCCTTGGACATTAATGACTTCACAGGGATTCAGTCAACAGAGATAGCACTTAGGCCTTACAGTGTGTAAGTAGACACTCTTCTTGTACAATCCTACCAAATCTAATCGGGAAATAAAATCATGGGGAGAAAGTTGATAACGAAGGATCAATCATAATAAGTGGGATTATATAAATTTGTTGTTTGACAGCTACGTGATCAGTGAGGGCTCTTTGGTTGCAAGCAACAGACATGAACTCTGACTAATTTACGGGAGATGGGAAATCATTGGAGGATGGTGGGAGGCTCACAGAATTGATGAGTTGTTTGGAAAACTAGGCTTGGAAATAGATCAGTAGGAACTGCTCAGGGCACTGCTGCTGGTATAAATTCCAAAGGGCTTCCCACCCTCTCCTCATTCTCACATTTCTCTGCTCAAGATGCAAAGCCATGGGAGAGAGAGGCTTACTGCCAAGCTTAGTCACATGTTTTTCTCTTCTGTAAAGAGAGAGAGATGCTGCCATGAGAAATCATTATAGCAGGTCCTCACAGCACTTGTGTTTAGAGTTCAAATCTCACTTTTTTTTTACTTAACATGTTTCTAAGATTTTTAAGATTCAGCTACATTAATATATACTAGAGGCTCCGTGCACTGGTGGGGTCCCTCGGCCTGGCCTGCAGGGATCAGTGGACCTCCGCGCCAGCTCCCGGAGCTATAGCCAGTTGTGGATCCCGCCCAGCACTAAGTAGTGTGTGAAGCGGCAGGGGGCCAGGGAGGAGCCCAAGCCTGGGCTGGGCACTGTGCCACTTCTGCTCATCCGGCCCACTGCGCCTATCGCCTGATCATATTCCTTAAATTCTCTTTCAAATTTATTAACTTTATTTCCTCTCTGTGTTGCATTTTGATTAAATTTAGATGCATCTTCCAATTCACTAATTATCTCTTCAGTTATATCTAATCTGCCCTTTACCTCAACCAATGAGTCCTAAATTTCAATCGTATTTTTTACTTCTAGAAGTTCTGTTTTCTTTTTATATTTTCTACTAGTTTTTTTTTTGCTCCTGCTTTCTCTTCATATTTTTAATTTTTAAGACTGTCAAGAACTGTGAAGGGTCTGAGATTTTATGATAGTTACAAGTTAGCTCGCCACAGTTGTGTATATACTGAAAGAAGACCCGAGACTCTTGAATCAGAGGCAAAAAACTTTATTAATCACTGAAGAAGCAGTAGCCAGAGTGTCAACATGTTTGTTTTGGTTCCCTATATCCTAATTCCTATAGAAGTGACACAGAGAGCTACCTGCACACGAGAGGATCACTGATCTTGGGGAACTTGACAGTTTATAGTAGACAGTAAACAAGGCTATACTTTCTCCTAGTGGGAGATGTTATCCTGTCCTTTAAGGTTACCTGCTGCAACACAGGCCTGAAAAATGGTCTCGGTAAAGATCAGCCAGGCCTTGATTTTTTTTTTTTTTTGGCACACAAAGCAAGACATGCAAGGACAAGAGAGACATATGGAGGAGTATTTCTCAACAATATTAGATACAATGGTTTTCTGATTTGCATTGGAAATTATAATAGCTATGAGTCTTATTCTACTATATGTTCTTTGTATTGGCTCTTGCACATAGTGTTTTATTTCTTTGTGTGTTTTATGATTTTTGACTGTGGGTTCACCTTTCTTGGAATGAAGGGAGTTTTCTCCAGAGAGAACTTGCAATTACTTCTGGGAGCATTACCAGCTGGAATTCACTTTAAAGTACATTCTTAGCTTGTGGTTTTTCAGACCACTCACTGTGCATATAGGCTGGAAACCTATGGATGGGTATGCATGTTGTAATTCATTCTAAGGGGAAATGACTCCCCCCTTCCCTTCCCTGTTGCTATTCAGTACCATATTTTAGATAAGCTACTTTCCTTCTTCCAAGTTCACCTTAATGTTGAGGGAATAACATTTTGGGGATCTAGTTTTATGCAGTGGGTATTCCCTATAGATTCTCTCTATTGAGCCAATCCTGGACTTTGTCTATTGTTCCCTGTGTCCTTTAAAGTACTAGAACCTATATTAGTTAGAGTAGCACTAATGTTGTAACAAACACAACAAAAAAGTATGTGCTTAACACAATGAATGTTTATTTCTCAATCACATAGTAGTCCAGTTTAGATGAGAGTGCAGCTTTTTTCCATATGGTGATTCAGGGACTCAGACTACTGAGCAACCCAGCCAGGACCATGCCCCTTAGTTTTAATTGTACTTCACTTATAAACCCTAAAGCACGGACACAGTACTATACACAAGTTGAAATAAATACATGGTGATTGATTGATGAATCATTTTCATAGTAATTATGTAATCACATAATTATAATTTCATGGTAATATGTTGTTTCTCTAAATGATAACACCAATCAAAATATTGCCATCTCTGGGTACAAAGGTGATTCATTCGGTTCACTAGTGGATAGCACTAAGTGATGATGACTATTGCTGACTGAATTTGCATTGAGTCATCCACAATGTGCTGGACTTATCTGTGTCCAGTGTTTTCCATTTGTGAGAAGGTTGCCAAGATAAGCAGTGTTCTCCATGGCCATGGAACAGAGATGTTCTCTGTGTAAAATGAAACTAGTGAATGCCTGTATGGAGACTGGACACATGACCTCTTCCTCTCTATCCAGCTCAGGAATGGGGCCTCACATTGTAACATCCCATTTTTGGAGGAGGAAATAGTAATGTGTTCATCATGCATGCTTTGGAGATTAAATCATATTCATCTGAGGCACAGGAAGAGAGCAAATTAAAAAACACACACTGGATGACAGTTGGGACAAGCAGTGGGAGTGTATTGTATTAATCTTTGAAGAGTCAGCTCTTTGCTGAACTTAAAGGCTGTGGTTTGGTGACACTAGGGTTCTTCTTTGTGATTCTGAATGAATTTCTTTTTCTCTCTGCCACACATTTTAACATGAGGCAAAGGGATGAAAATGTCCTGCCAAGGAAGTTATTATATATAAAAACGCTTTGAAGTATTTTTACTGAGTGAGGAAAGTAGACATATCATCAGCAGTGAGAAATGGAACACTGAGACTGAATAATATCCAGTCGGGGTCTGTAAGGGAGGGAAACTATCATCTACTGAGCACGTACTCTGTGTGAAGAACTGTACGTGGCACTTTCACATTCATCAATATATTTAGTTGTCACAGCCATAGGTACATTTTTCATAAAGATTTTGAAGATTAGAGGTCAAGGCCCATGCTCAAAGATACATAGCTAGTAAGTGGCAGAGTAGGATTCAAATTCAAGTTTTTCTGTCTTCATTTTATACTCTTATCTCCTGATTAAGCTGTCTACCAAAATTGTTTACATCAATCTGACTCTAAATTTGGTTTTCCCACTGAGACTTTAGCTCAGCGGTTCTCAACCTGTGGGTCGCGACCCCTTTGGGAGTTGAACGACCCTTTCACAGGGGTCGCCTAAGACCATCGGAAAACACATATATAATTACATATTGTTTTTGTGATTAATCACTATGCTTTAATTATGTTCAATTTGTAACAATGAAATTGGGGGTCACCACAACATGAGGAACTGTATTAAAGGGTCGCGGCATTAGGAAGGTTGAGAACCACTGCTTTAGCTCATCCTGTAAGGGCAGCGTCCTCAGCTCATTAAATGGTACCAATCTCGCTTTCACAGAGCTTGGCCCTGCAATGTCTGGTGTGAACACACTGACCAACGTGCCCGCTGAGTCATAACTTTCTTCCATTTCTCAAAGTGTTGTCCCAGTGCGTGTGACTGGCCTCCCTTCCCAATTCTCCCATATAGCATCCTAGTATCTCATGGAGACTTCACTCTGTCCTGAACTCCATTCTATTTAAAGGGAGTCTAAAACTCTGCTAGGCTCTTTGCAGCTCTCTTCTGCATAAGTGAGCTCAGTTTCATGTGCCCCAAGCTATTGATTGGGGTTCAATTGTGAACAGTCTGACTGTTTGGAACCTGGATATTTTCACCCATTCCCTGAACTCCTGTTGCTTCCTTGGACCTTAAAGGCTGCCAGAATCACATCAGGGTATACCTATGTCCTTGAGACACTGCTCACCGAACAATCTGCTGTCACCTTGGGACACCGACCCATCCCTGGGAAGTCTCAAGTCTCTCTAGCTCCAGTTTACCCACTTTGTACTTATTTTTTCCATTGATTCTTGGTGCCAGAGTCCCAGGTTGCCCAGTGTAAGACCATTGAGTTATGGCATGACATTTTCACTACATTTCATAGTCTAAACCTAAGGGGAATACTCTAGCTATCAAACCTTTCATTATAGTTGCATTTTAGTGTTGGTGTTAGAGGGTGCTCGCATGTGACCTCTTTAAGGAAGACATTCTTGAGCCCCTGGTCAGGGTTGGTGACCCTACTGTGTAGTTCCATAACACCTCTGCTTATCTGTCTCATAAGACTTATCATAGGAATGGTACTTGTATGCTTGTATGTTTAAATATTTCTATCTCTCAAACTAGAATGTAAGCTCCTTGAGTGAGGGCCTTTTTCATATTTATCTGTATATGTCCACAATTACAGTGTTTGGTACATAGAGGCCCTTAGTCAATATTTATTGAATACTGAGACTTAGAATACAAACTCTAGAACAAGACTTGCTGTGTGACCTCATTACATTTCTTGATATTTCTGTATTTCAGTGTTCTCATCGACAAAAAGGGCATATTAATAGGGTTGTTCTTAGAATTGAGTTATAATATGTAAAGTACTTAGAACAGTGCCTATGATATAATAAGCAATAGATGTAGACTTTTATTATTGAGTCAGTGAGATGGGTAGAGTATTGGCCTACTAATTGTATAG